ATTATAATAAGGGGGGGAGATCATCACAACTCTAACCAATAAAAACATTATAAATAAATAGAAAAAAACGGGAATAAAAAAGAATGAAGGAATATTGCTCTGAACTCTTATTTCCTACTTTTCTATTTAATCATCTCATGAATTTTTAAAATCAAGGCATCTATTAAAAACAATTAATTATTTAAAATTCTATCATTCCTTTCTTAAAAACATTATAAATATATAGAAAAAAACGGGAAAAGAATAGAAAAGAATGAAGGAATATTGTCTCTGAACTTTTATTTCCTACTTTTTCATTTAATCATCTCATGAATTTTTAAAATCAAGGCATCTATTAAAAACAATTAATTATTTAAAATTCTATCATTCCTTTCCTTCCAAATTTAATAAGAAGTAAAATAAAGTGTTAATAAATAATTTTTTTTATTAATACTATAATACCAATTAAAAATGTCACAACCAAATTTTTCAAAAAGAAAAATAACCATTCAACTAAGGGTTTAAAAACAAAAAAAAAAATTTGTGAAATAATTTGAAATAACAAATAGTGTCTAATTTTAGAAAACAGGTGAACTAGATTATTCTAAAAAGATGTAAGCAATTGACCGACAATTCAATGCTAAGCATTAGAAGACGCGTCTCTAAATCCAAGATTGGTCAGAACTATGAAAATGTATTTCTGCTCGACAATGATAAGATATGTCAAGAGCGAGGCGTAAATCATCCCGACAACGAGTCTCGTCTGATATGTCATATAGGCAACGACAATATCTGCCAAAGACCTTGCAAAAACGACTATAAGACCGAGGTGATGAACCAATTAGACAGACGAAGATGCATACCTTGTAAGACTTCAGCTAAAAGATAAACGAGTCACGATTCACCCGTTGAAACAGATTGACCAGTTAGCCGACTGATAAACTAGGGCGCATGCCAGAACCCTCAACCATGGATAATCCGTTGACCCACTTTTCATCATGACATACAAGATTAACACTTGACCGGATGTCTCTAATGACTGGCACAAGATAAAGTTAAGCAAGTATGTCGGGTAATTACCCCATGTTAAAATTGATATTGTAATACAAATATGATATAAAATAAATATAATTAATTAGAGCACTAAATACATTAAGAACGATTTTCATAATCGGTCATTTATTTTTTATAATTGTACAAAATACATTCATGTAAATAAGGGACAAAAGGACGACCGACGAAGGGGGCAACACATTTGGACTCGCCCCTGGGTTTCCTCGACAATAAAGTCTCGACCCACTCTATTTTTCTCTCTCTCTCATTCTACACTAACTCTCGAGACACTATCACAGAAAGAAAATATGGGATTCAACACTCTCAATTGCACGGCGTTCTATACAAATTTAAAGCTCCTTAATAATGTTAGAATGAAACGATCTTGGGCTTATTGGATTCATCTCACGGAGACGCTTAATTCAGTTATCAACTTGTCAGATTTGGAATTCGTTTAACGTTCTAATTACACATCAACTGTTTCCAAAACTGTTTTAACGACTTAATTTGGGCTTGAGTTGACTAAATATGGACCAAATTTGGTGTGATTATGTTTTTCTTGTCGAGTTTGATTAAATTGGGATTTTTGATGATTTATAATTCATGTTTGAACATTTATTGCTAAAACATGGATCGAGATTCGTGTTGATCTCCCTGAAATTTTTGCCAAGCGATTCAAGATCCATGTCAAATGATAACTTTGTCGACGACATATCAATTGTCCTTTATTTTTTAGTAACTGTCAAATATATTTCGAACAATAAAAAATTTTGAGCTTCACTTGAAAATGATCCCAAAGATCAAATGATGCTAAAAAAATTAGACATCATGATAATCTTGAAAGAAATTTTTGCTTGAGGTAAGCTGAATTTTATAAGTTCGATATTCATAATGTTTTGGTGTCATAAATTTTAGCAGGAAAATATTTACTTCACTTTAAAAAAAATTGATAATTGTAGTATTATTGATGCAATGTTTAATATTTGACATTTATACATGTAAATATATAAGTTTTGGTGCGAGACATGTATATGCATAAGAATTATGTACTACGTATGTAAGCATATAAGTTTTGATGTCAGGCATGTAAATGCATAACTACCATGAGGTATGTAGACAAATATACAACTTTTGGTGACAAAAATGTAAATGCAAAAAAAATATGAGGTATGTGGGACAATGTGAATGTCAGGAGTTGAGATATGGAAACACAAAAGAATTGCATGTTATGTTTGTACAAACATATCCAAGGAAATTTAATTTTAAGGTTTTATCGTAAATATATTTTAATTTAAATATTTTGGAAAGAAATTATAGTATATTTAAATTATAATATCTAATCAATTAAACAAAAAACATGAGATATTTTTTCACTTTAATCTTATTTAAAAAAAGGATATTATATTTATTTTAAAATTTAGATTTTGTTGAAATATATTTTTTTTCTTTTTCTCTTCTTTTCTAAACCTATAAATAGGTCTGAAAGAAGAGAAATAAGTTGAAGTCCCCCATCATATTAGCAGATGATCAACGGACTCCTAAACTATATAATACATGTCAAGTTTTAATTAAAAATTTAATTAAAATTATAAAATTACAATCTTAAAATAAATTTAAAACTAATTATCTATTTTAATTAAAAAACCTAACAACCGTTTAGATACTAAAGTGGCAACTAGGGCATGGAAGTTTTTGTCTCACATAAGAATAAGATGTCATAGAGTCACTTATACAAAACCATTGAAAGACTTTTCAATATTGTACTTGAATAGGCTATGTTTTAACTAACTATTTAACTCACTGCTATGTAATTCAGTAGTGAAAGAATAGAAGCTTGTTTTATTATCACATAAATATTTTATTTTAAATGGTGAAATACATCTTTTAGATATAAACAATATTTAAATATAAATATTAAAATTAGGTATTAGATAATAAAAAAGAATTGTGTGGTATATAGTTAAAATTTCCTGTGGTAAATAATTTGCCAAAATAAAGAAAATACTTCTAAAAGATCATACATGACGCTTGCCCAGTGGACTGAAACGATGCACTTAATGGAAGTGAAAAAATTTCGCGAGTCTCTCGCTCTCTAATTATGTTAATTGATGAGTAGTAAAATATAAACTAATACAAATGAAATAAAAATTTATTTTTTTATAAAAGTATTTATGATTTCTTAAAAAAACAAATCAATATAACCATAATATTTTTATTAGAATAAAATATTAAAATAATTAAAATATTTGATATAAATGCATTGACGTATAGACTATGAAGGGTTTAGTAGGATACGTACGTGTCCTCTAAAAATTTGCTAAAGCAAAGTTTATAGGAATGACTGAATCCTACTTGTAGGCAAACATCCATTAAACACGCGACATTACAGATTTAAGGTATGTTTGGGGCAGCTGCAGCTTATTCAACTTCTGTTGATAAGCAACTTATCCTGATAATCTGCTGATGAGCAGCTGATCCGGATAAATTGTCTGTCTGTTTGGTTGGCGCTTATAAAAAACAGCTGATTCTGAAAAATTGACTATTCTGCCCCTGTTCTGAATAAGCAGTTTAGCTGTTTGGTTAGTGCGTTTTGTAAACAGCTTATTTGGAAAAAAAAACAGCAGAATTTGTTCTTTTCTCAACAAAATTAAAGATCACTGTTCAGAGTAGAAAATACCAAAAAGTTGATTTATATTTATATAACTAAAACATATCCGATCACATCAAACGAATATGTTACACATACAAAAGTCAAATGCACATGCACATACTACTACAAAGTATAATGAGCGCCCATAAAAAAAAAATAACATGTTAAAATGATAAGTAAAAATATGATAATGTTAACTTTATAATATAGCAGCATATCACGACCCATGTCATCTGACTCTGAAACTACAGAACCCTGAGCAAATCTGTCTGACTGGGATACTGTAGAAATGGAAGCACTCAAAGCAGATGCAGTGTTCTGAAATGTTGATATCGACGAACTCTGATCTGGGGTATCCTTCTGGGATATCATAGAAATAGACTCCCTGTCGGTCCACCTGAAGAAACTGTAGTCCTCCTATCGTTGTGCCCACCTTGGGCACCTGTAAAATTACCTTCCAAAGCTATGTGTCTTACGTGACGTGAGTAGCAAGGATGGTAGTCCGCACCGACACATCACTTTCTCGGACTTCCCTGAATATCTAGAACTTATCATTCTGCAGTTATTAAAATAAGAATAGATCAGTTCAAATTTTGAGGAAAATGACATATAACATGATACAACAGGTTTTAAGATCGAATATAAATTATAACCATACCTAATGTTGTCAAGCCAGATAGATTTATGGCACAAAAATAGTTATGGCTTTCAGAGATTGTGTCACATTTATATAATGTTCATGTATGTGGTGCTTTTGTAGCATTATGATTTCTAGATTTTCTCCTGATTTGTTATGAGAGATTATGGAGAATTTTGGTGTGTTAATTTATCATCCTAATTTTGTTGATAGTGGAATAATATCTTCCTATCGACTTAAGCAAATTTATGTGGTACCACGTAAATCATACGTTTTTTTTTGTTTGTCTATTACGTGAATTTGTTTTCCACATTATTTTACAAAAACAATTTAGTGTCAATTATGAAAGATAACATTAAAACAAAGTTAAAATATATATAAATATAAATAGAGGATGCAAATCATCAAAAATTATACTGTATTATTGAACGATTTATAAATATACAGGCTAAGCAACATAAAAGTATGTCTGTCTGCACTCCAATGCTTCTCATAGTTCACAGATTGGATTTCAAGTCAAAAAGAAGTGGTGAAATCGATGTCTAGAGTTCTAACAAACAATTGGAGATTTGGAAGCACAAATCTAATCTTTGAATTTAGCCAAGATATTTCGCCACCCTTTTTTGTTAAAAAATGTAGTGGGTCTATTTCCCACATTAACCTCCCTCACACATAAATCACAAAAGATCATAGTAACTTCTCTATCCCACATGGCTGATGTTCCAGTCTCTTTAGCTTTACTCATTGAGTTCTGTCAGATTAACGGATAAGCACAAAATGTTTCTTTTCATGGCAAAAAAATCACAAAACAAAAGAACAATTTCTATATCAACCCTCTAAAAATCACAAAACAAAAGATAGATTAATGGCATCTTCATCTTTGTGACGTCGTAAATTCTTTAAAAGAACTCTAGATGACAAATCATGACAAAGATTACTAAAAAATAGGATAAACTTTAGAAAGAAAAAAAGAACTTTTGTAAAGATTGTCAAACTGTACATTCATATAAAAGAGGAAATATCTACTTTGGGAAATGTAAATATGGAAATAAAATGGTACAAAAATCTTCTTATCGAGTGACATCCATAATATTACACTATAAACACTACAATGTAGATTTTGGTTGGAGTAATTATACAGAGAAACAATTCCATGTTCTAAGAGTTATTTAATTTGACATAACACAAAGAATAATATTAGTAGCTGGTGTTTATAAAACAGAAGTGATTTACCTAAAGAAAAGAACAACAATATTTTTCAGCTACAAGTGTAAGCAATCAAAACACAAAATGATAAATATTTGAATAATATTTTAGACCATATAATAGTTATGAGGCATAAAATTTTAGTTAGAACTACCGAACAACGCAAAAGAATTAGCACTCTTTCATATAAAAAAAAAACTATATAATGAAACATAGCTTCTTAGAAAGGAAGGAAGATTTCATGTCATTAACCAAACATGGAAAAATAAAACAAATCAAACAAGTTGATAACACACTTAAAAACCAAAATTAGAATCTTTCACCATCTCTTCATCTTGGAAGCGTTGCAAAGCTCCTAATTTCGACTAATTCATCTTAAAAACAAATTGAGTGCATGTAAATTAGAGGAAAAAAAAACATAAACTAATAATTAACAATACCAAAAGAGTCAATAATGCACGTGAACTATCTTTTCATACAATTTTACCAACCATCCATACTTGATATAAAATACAACACTAACAAAATGTTTGATAGGTGCATCATCATCATCATTATCGCCACCATCGGAATCAAAACATTAGGCTAAAACTAAAGTATATGAGTTCGACTACAAAATTCCTCCTCCAATTATTTCTGCCGATTGTTAAAATAAATAAGACAATAATATTTGAAAGTTTTGTACACAATTTCTCACTCTAACCCTATGTTGCGCTTACAACTAGGGGTACATATGCATAAGAAAATCCCACTCATATGGTATGCCTTAGAAACAAACATCTGTCTATGCAAATGGAAACAAAAGATTAATATTTTTTTTTATGAATGTAAACAGATTCCATATACAAATTCAAAGCAATCAGAATCAAATATTTACCTTCGAAGAACAACGGTGTGCAATCAAAGCGAGACCGGGATTCTAAACTACAGTCCGGCTTCGAACGGATCCGCAAGACCGCAAGACCGGGATACAGAGAATAGCGAGAGGAGAAGCCGAGATACAAAATAACGTTCAGATCCGCAAGATTTTTCACTTATGCGTCCAACAACGACTTCGAACAGAGGAGATCCGACTTCGAACGGAGAAGCCGGGATATAGAATGGTGACGGGAGCGAGAACGCAACGACTTTGAACGAAGAAGATCCGGCTTCAAACCGAGAAGATCCAGCTTCAATGGGATCGAGAGAAGAAGATTCGGCTTCGAACGACCGAGAGAGGCGAAGAGCTAGGTCACGGGAGAGGTCGTGGGAGAGGCGAAAGAGAAAGGCAAAGGGAGAGGCAAATGAAAAAAGACAAGGTCACGAGAACGATCATGAGCGGTATTGCACAAATATGAATCGCGAAACGCGGACCGCGGGGGTCAGGTCGCGATCCGCGTGTTTTAAAAATTCAAAAACGTTTTTTCAAATAATCTCCCAATAAGCGCGAACCAAACGGTAGAGCGGCAAAACGCCGCCGCCCGCACTTATAAGCTACCACAAACGGACCTTTAGAAATTCAAAAACTCTTTTTCAAATAATCTCCCAATAAACATTTTCAAAACACCTTGCACACTTATAACTGCCCCCAAACGGGCCCTTACAGTGATTGAAATACAATTGATCGGAGCCCACGGCGAAGAACGGCGAAGAACGGTGGAGCGAAGCCTTGCGAGCGAAGAAGATTGGCGGAGCGATTCCTTCTTCCTTTGCTGCGCTTCGGACGGGAGGGAGGATAGGTAAGACGGCTAACCCTAGGCGATTTGCTCGGACAGGGTTTGTCTTCGTTGCCTTTTCCCTTATTCCTTTGCAGTGTTTAACCTAGCTGCCACTGCCTTCTTTCCCACTTCTCTCGTGGCTGTTGGGCTACGGCCCACAGCATCATGGACTAACCGAGCGTCTCCTCCTCCCCCTCCTCTTCTCTATTTGGTCCCCCACCTTCCACCAACTGGAAAAGCCTTTTGTCCTCTAATCTTTCCAACCCTACTACCTTCAACCTCTCTTTTCTTCCGTCCACTGTTGATAAAGCGGTTTTATCCGGGAGGAAGTGGAAGAAGGTTTGAGACACTGGAAGCTAGCATCGGTGGATTATTCCTTTGGGCAAAATGCCATTCTGTAGTACTCTCTTGCAAACTATTTCAAAAATTTGGAAACTCAAAGGTATGGTGGAACTGATCTCTCTCTCGTATGGCTTCTTTCTTTTTGAATTCTCTTGTTCGGAGGACCTTAACATGGTCATGGATGGTAGACCGGGTTTATTAGCGGAAAAACTTTCATTTTTAGGCGTTGGTCACCTGATTTTCAGCCCCTAAAAGAGTATTTCTAGAAAGTTCCGATTTGGATCAAACTTCCTAACCTTCTTCTTCGCTACTGGACAGAAAATGAAATTTTTAAGATTGCTAGCTCTATAGGGATTCGAGTCACGGTTGATCCTTTAACTGATAAAGGCACTAGGCTCAGCTTTGCCCGGGTTAGTGTTCAAATCAACAGTCAATCTCTTCTGCCAGATTCTATAATTATAAATGTTAAAGGAAAAGATGTGGTTCAACCAATCTTATATGAGTGGAACTCATAACCATGTACTTCTCGCAACACTTTTGCTCATGAGACCAAATCTTGCCTCAAGTCTCCACACTGTAAACCAACTCCCATCATTCCTATTTCTAGACATAGAAGTCACCCCAGGAGCTTCATACCTCCTAGAAGCAACAACACCCAGCGCCTCTCACCACCCGCTCCCCCACTCCACCTCAGTCTATTTCCCTTTTTTCCCTTGACCCCCACGACAGATCTTAATGCCCCTCCTTCTTCCCCTATCATCCACAATCCCCCTTCTTTTCAACTGCATTTATCCCCAAAGAGTCAGGTTACCTGGTTAGCCGGTTCCTCCCCCTAGCCCCTCTATTCCTTTGCACTCCTCTTCCTTCCCTTCTACTGCTAAAACTAGGAAAGGTAGGCAATAAGGAGGGGGTCCTCTAGTTTAACAATTAATTTGTCCATATTTTTTCCCAATATAGCAGTTTGGAACGTTATGGGCTTGAACTGCCTTGTGAGAATTTTTGATTGTAGAAACCTTGTTAAAACCACAAAATAGATCTTATCTGTCTCCTAGAGGCTATACTTTCCTCTGATATTGTATCAAATGACCCCTCCAAGAATTACACCTCGTTCCATCAAGAGAACAACATTCATAACTGTCACTTCTCTTATAATGGTAAAATCTGGATAGAATGGAACTCCAACAACATTTCTTTCTTTGTTTTGGATATTAAATCTCAATATATTCATGGCCGAGTTAATTTTTCCAACTCTATTTAGTATTTAGTCGCTTGTGTTTATGCTGATAATAGCGTTGTTGTAAGGGAAAAAAAAACTTTAGCATTCAATCTCCAATTTTGTTGCTACTATATCCGATCCTTGGTTTTTTGTTGGAGATTTTAACTGAATAAGAAACATGGAAGAGAAAATTGGTGCTCTCTTCCAATTCTTAGTAAGTTGTTTAACTTCAATGCTTGTGTGTTTATTAATGATCTTCACGATCTTCCCAACCCTGGGTTCACTTTTAGCTGGTTTAATCAACAAGTTGATAATCCTATAAAGTGTTTGTTTGATTGGGCTATGGCAAAATCTTTGGCTGCAGTCTTTTCCATTCTCATCGCACAAAGTTCTTCAGGCTTTTACTTTTGATCACTCCCTAATTTTGATTTCTTTGGGCTCCAACTTTACTCACAATTACATGTTTATGTACAAAAACTACCAGAGCACTTTGATAACTTTTATGATGCCATCTCTAATGCTTGGAATATTGTTATTCAAGGGGATCCCATGCTTGCTCTCGTAAAAAAGTTAAAAAATATCAAAAAGGCCATTCTTAATGCTAAATTGACTCATTATCACTATATTATCACTATATTTCACTTAGCTTTGGAAGCCCAACCTCTTTCTAAAGAGCTTCTTTGACAAAGTATTACAATCCATGATAAACTATCCAATGCTATCTCGTGGGAAAGCTCTTGGATTAGGCAAAGAGCTAAGTGCTACTGGCTTTCTAAGGGAGAAGTGACTTTAAATTCCTCTACCAAAGAATTAAGAGTAGAAATATTGGTAACTTTATAAGAGAACTCCAATATGCTAATGAGCGTATTAATTCCCAACAAGGCATCATCCGAGAGGCTATTTCCTATTTCTCTACTCTACTTAATAACTTTTATTCTAATTTTAACAACTCAATCAACATTCGTGCGCGTAAATCTTTAACTCAACATGAATCTGATAAACTCATTGATTATTACTCTGAAGAGGACATCAAAGTTGTTTTCTTTCAAATAGGAACTGATAAATTCCCTGGTTCGGATGGTTTCAATTCTAAATATTACCAAAACAGCGAAAGCTTCACTCAACAAACTTGTGGGCTCTATTTGATTGTAGGTATTTACAACACAAAAATTTGGGTTTCCATACCATGAATGAAAACATTAACCCAATATTAGAACCCATAATAGATAACTTTCTTCTATTTAGATGGGCCTTGAATCAATTAGTATCATAACGCTAAAATTTTTTTTGTGCTTTGCAATATGAGAGAAAACCTTGATATTTCACCTTTTATTAATATCCACTTGACAAAGTGCTAATCTATAACTCTTGAGCAAAGAGGGAAAAAATATCGTTCTTAGATAGAACATGATGGCGTATGGTTGAGAGAGCTTTGTGCTAGCAAAATCCACTTATAATGAGGTTAGTGCTAATCTACCTCTTGAGCAAAAAAGGAAAAAATATCTTTCTCAGAAAAATCATGGCAACATATGGTTGAGAGAGCTTAGTACTAGCAAAATCCACTTATGATCTTATAAAATTGTATCTAAAGAGCATATTATGGATTGATTGATGTAGCGAGCCCAAAGATGATGGTGAACATCCTAGACATGGGTAATAAAAGGTTTCTAGAAAGATTAAAGTATGAATACCACCACATTATTCACACTCATAGACCTTGTGTATATTATGATAACATAGAGAAAAATCTATAATAAATTATTTCTATAGAGCTGTCAGCAACTAAAGATCAAACATGAATATACTAGTAATCTTCAAGCTGAGGATTTGGAACAAGAATTTTGAATAAATTTTATATTTAGACATAAATTTTATGTCAAAGTAAAGTCACACTCAATATGTTGTTCATGTGTTAGTATTCAATTTTATATAATGGATATTAAGCTTTTGTTTCGTTTCATTTGGATATGCATTTTAATGGCCTTTGAGGGATATTTCATGTCTGTAAAGCCCATGTTGCTTTCTGGATATGTTCTTAACTGGCCTTTGCAAGAGTTGTCTTGCTTCTTAATAAACAAGAACATCACGTACTCTTCAAGAAGCATGTTTTGTTTGTTAAGTCATGTTCCCAAAGTTAAACTTCACATTTATTTGATAATTCATAAGAACTTGGTCACAATATAACCCCATGAGTTTAATGATATGATTAATTTATTTTTTACCATGAATGACAAATTGTTAGTTGGTTTGCAGCTCTATTTAAGCGTTGCTATGAAATCCAAGAAATAACAACTGTGACCAAGAAAATCCTTGTGGTGTGCTCATACAAGTTAAAAATCATAGCATAATAGATTTTTTTTATATGCTTACAAAAAATAAATCATGAATAGTTTATTCTAGATTATTTGATTTGACAATTTTATTCTTTCATCTGTGAAAAAAGCTTAGAAATTCACTTCAAGGCTAAAAGTGTGCGAGTGCCTACCTTTTAGTTGAACTGCGTGTTTAGCATATTTATAGGAGAAATAGTAAGATCTGATAGTATTTAAATAGAAATGTGAAAATGTTTAGGAGAATTGGGAATATTTTAGCTTACTAAATCTTTTAATATTATTTTTAAAAAAATATGCCTAATGAGTAGAGAAAAAGTCTATTGGTTACTATTTTTAATAATTAAGGTGATGCATAAGAATGTGCAAATTATTGAAGAATTATATTCTATCATACATTAAAATTATGAGAGAGTAATTGAACACAGGTTATGGCGTGATACGAAAATTACTCAAAATTATTTTGGATTCATGCCGTGTAATTGTTATTATGGAAGCTATATATTTATTGAGAGGTTTGATGAAACAATATAGAGAGTAAGGAGGATCTACATATGATTATTGTTGATTTGGAAAAAATACTGATGATAAAGTTCAAAGAGAAGTAATTTGGAGAGTTCTAGAAAAGAAAGATGTTGATATTTCTTATATTTAAGTCATTAAAGATATATATACTAGAGCAGTTTCTTGTGTTCGAACGCAAGAAGGACCGATCAAGTATTTTTCTATTTTAGTTGGATTACATTAGGGACTAGCTTTAAGCCCATATTTTTTTGCTTTAGTTATGTGTGTTATCGTAGGACATTTGGAGGAGGATGTATTTTGGTGTATGGTTTTCATTGGTTTCTTCGAGAGAATTTAGAAAAAGAAATTAATTACATAGGTCATCTTTAGAGTCAAATGGTTTTAGTTTGAGTAGATCTAAAACTGAATACATGAAATGCAATTTTAGCAATAGTAGATCTAGTGGTGGGTGATCAAGTCATTAAATGGAGTGATTGTTTTAGATATCTCGGATCTATTGTTCAAAGTGAGGGTGATATAGATGGGGTATTATTAGTAGAATTCAAGTTGGATGATTGAAGTGGAGGAATATATCGGGTCTGTTATGTGGCAGAAAAAGTATCGTTTAGACTTGAAGGAAAACTTTATAGGATGGTGGTGAGACCTGCAATGGCTTATGGTACAAAATGTTGACCTGTAAAAGTGAAACATAAAATTAAGTTAAGTGTGAGAATGTTCAGGTGGATGAGTGGTTCTACACGTAGAGATAAAATATGAAATATATATCCATGAAAGGGTTGGATTAGCTCCAATGACTCACAAGATTAGAGAGTCACTTTAGAGGGTTTGGTCACATTAAGTGCTGGCCATCCGATGACCTTTTTAGGTGAGTACATGTTTTAGATTTGACTTATGATAAGAAAGTTAGAGGTAAACCTAAAAAGACTTGGGCATGTTGTATAAAAAATGATCTTAATTTATTAGAATTAAATGAAAATATGACACTCAATAGGAGACAATGGAGAAATGGAGAAACAATGGAGAAAAAGGATTTCATGTTTCTGTCGTTGTATGTCACTTCTTGGGAATTCATTTTAGGAATTTAGGCATATGTTTTACAAATGCTTGTGAACATGAGCCATTTATATTTTAGCTTGAAATATACAAAGATATTTCCATGAGAATTAAATTTCCCATAAATTTTTTTGATGGCCTTTTATACTGGCCAAGCTTGAACCCTTGCACATTTTTTGAAGTGCTTATCATTTATCATATGTATGTTATGATTATTTTTTATTTTTTAATATGACCATCACTATGAATGTGTTATTTTTTGAAAATGTCATTCTTGTTCAATATTATAAATTATTTTGATATATATATATATATATATATATA